TAAAATTATGGAATATTTTATTTAAGCCATGAACTATTTTCAATACCTTATGCTATTCTATTTACTCCCCACAACCCTTCTGTGAATCATCATCATCACTTATACTTAAAATTCAAGAGGTTAACAATTTTGTCTAAGATGTTACACTTGATATGAGAAGATCTATGTCTTAAATTCAATTCTGATTGCTCATCAAAGTTCATGATCTTTATCACTGCTCTTCTGGTACTACCTGGTCTATAAGAAATTACAGATAAGAATAAGAATAAATCATACATTTCATGTTAGGGATTTGGGAAAAACCTTGAAATTTTTCTGAGTAAGAAACTAGTCAAAGATTACTCAAAAACAATTGGATCTATTATAAACAAAGATGTATGAACCTATCTAAATCTCCAGCAATAGAACAATTTCTTATTTATATTTTCCTTATTATAAATATTTTTACATTAATTCCATAAGCATTTCTGTATACCCACAACACTGCTGGCCCTGTTCCATGCTTACTATTAGAAAAAAAACAAATAAAATATAATCTGCCCTTTGCACTGAGGGTATGTAAGTTCTTGTGGTTATTATAATAAGGCCTCTGAGTCTCTGATAATTTTGCTGTAAATCAGACTAACCGTTAGCTATCTGAAACCAATATGTAATGATACTAACCCCAAGTGTATGATTTCTAATCATTTGCAGTAAGTGAAGTGCTTGATTCCAGAGCTTGGGCAAGAAAGACACAAGATGAGTCTGGCATATTTTTATCAGGAAGGAAAATATTAAAATGCTAAAAAAAAAATGATGGGATGTATCACAATGATACAAGAGTCAGAATGAAGTCACCCCCACTGGCCAAATAAAAAACAATTTGAGCATCAGAATAATTAGAACAGTAATGAACTATTAATATAATAATTTTAAAAAACTGGAAATCCATATGTCTATGTCATAATACGTAGATAAATAAATAACAGGATAAAATGAGGTTCTTGTTGACAGCAGAATGCCAAGTGCTAACTGGTGAAAGTAAGAGGAGTACTTCAGCTTGAAAAAAATGCTCTTTGATGATTATTAGAGTAAAGATTGGTTCACAAAAGAGTCACCGGTAGTGCTAAATCTAAGGGTAAGGTGACCAAGTAGCAGATATTTCTATGTTAAGATCTTAAAATCTTCCCCTACTACTTATTGGTAGCATAGGGAAAGAAAAAAAAATAGCTGCACGGTACAGAAATAAGACAATATTTTGTTGGGTAATAGAAATTAATATAAAAAATAAGGAACAGATGGATATCTTTGTGCCTCTGGATATAATTCCTTCAGAAGGTTACAACTTCATTTATTTATTTCCAGATGGGCCTAACTACAATGAAATCAAGAATAAATGAGCCAAACCCAAAATGAGAAATATTCTGTTTTAAATAAAGGGTTACATGCATTGTGGAAAAACATCAATGTTCAGAAATGGCAAAGAAAGATAAAGAATTAGCCCCCAGAATAATGAAGGTTAAAGTGATATGACAACTACTTATAAAACTTGGATTCTGTACTAGAGAAAAAAGAATTCCATGAAGGACACTATTTGAACACTTGTCACAATTAGAAGATGGATAGTAGTGGAATAAAAGTATAATGACAATGTTAGATGTATGAATATCTGTGGTTATGTAATAAATGTCCTAATTCTTCAGAAATGCACACTGAAATAGCTGGTGAGAAGAAAGCATGATGAATACAGGTTGCTTTCAAACAATTCAATGAAAAGATATAATACATATATTTTTATACATATTCTACACATAGCAAATGATGGAGCAAATGGAAAAAACGATTATGAATGAATTTTTGATTAGTGCTTCAGAGTCCACAGATACAGAGGGCCTACTGTATGCACTGATGTAGCCCACTTTATACAGGGGACTTAAGCGTCTGCAAATTTTGGTATTTGGGGGTGGTGGTGGCCCTAGAATGAATGCTCTTTATATATCCAAGGAACAAATTAAGTTTTGAGGAAGTAAACATTATCAGAAATAAAAATAAAATACATTTATTTTTCTATATATTCTACACATAGCAAATGATGATGCAATTGGGAAAAATGATCATGAATGAAACTGAATAAAGGATATAATGTTCTTTAAATGATACTGCTATGTATTTTTAAATATAAATTTGAAATCAATTTCTCACTATAGACTAGAAAAAAAATAGAAAGAAATCACTAATATACGTAAACTATAAGGAAACTCAGATATCCAGACACTTTTCAGGAGAGATGAGTTTTAGGAAAATACACTGAGTTGTTTGAACTAAGGAGTGAAATAGCAACTCCAACAGCCTCAGGTGATTAATATCTGCGATGTGGTGGAACGCACACCCTATGTTTTTTGTAGATTAGGGAGAATCTCTGTGGAGTTATTCTGTTACCACATAATTCTTGTAAATTTTTAAAATGGAAATAGACCATGAATGAGTTGGCAAAAATTACTAAAGGTATTGGTAAAAAGATCAAAACAAATCACATAGGTACAAAAGTAGTCCTCTCTTCCGCTGTTGACAGAGAAGGCAGTTGACCCTGTAGCAGCAAGAATTTGAACTGTGTGGTTCCACTTATATGTGGGTTGTAGTTTTATTTTTATTTTTCCCAATAACTTATCTGTGCTAATTTTGATGAGTGTGTCAGAGTCCACAGGTAAAGAGGGCCCACTATATGCATTGACCTAGGCCATTTTATACAGGGTCTGGACATTTTGGTGCTGTGTGTCTGTGGGGGGTGAGGGTGTGTGTGTCCTAGAATCAATACCCCTAAGTAACCAAAGGACAAGTTAAGTTTTGAGGGAATAAACATTTATAAGTGTATTTGGGGATGCATAGTGTCAGCACCACTAACCTCTGCATTGTTCAAGGGTCAACTGTGTATCTATTTTTAACACTAAATTTTGCTCATATGGTGACTGATGTTTTGAGTTACATTTTTTTCATCATATAGCAAAATAAAAAAGAATATACAAAATATTGATATTTCTTAGGTATAAACATTAACATATCTTAATATTATAATTTACAATAGCATTCAAGTATAAATATGCAAATGGAAAAAGCTAATAGAATTATCAGGCATGTTACTTAAAGCAGGAACTCCACAGTGCTGCACATTTAAATATAGATAGTTAATAAATTATAATTTGAAAATATTGGAAGCATTTATAAAATATCAGCCATGTCTAGCTATTCATTGGATAATAGTTAATATTTATGCTAATTTTTCTAATTTGCTCTGTATGGCAGGATCAGGAAAACAAATCTATGTACAGTTTAACTTATAAACCCAATCTGTCTTATTTCAGCTGCATGATGTTATCCATTATCATTATTCTAATAACTTCACTAACCAACATTCATGCTATTTAATTAAACTAAAATGTACCCAAGCACTTTAAAATGAAGACCATGCATAATAACAAGCACTGCAAAGCAGGAGTTAAATTCAACATATTAATCTTAAAAATGTATAAAGATGGAGATTATGTGCCTCGTTCTTACAAAAAATATATTACCATGTCAGATTTAAATCCCTGGAAAGATGATTAAGAATCAGTCATACATTGGCACACCAACCTATACTTTATAAAGCATGTTTAGGCCTCATATCTATTTGCAGTCTCACAATAGCCAGAGATTATTATCATTTGATTTTGAAAAGTAGGAAACTCGCTGAGAATATTTGAGGCTAAGCGATTTGGGCTAGCAGTGGCTGCACTGATGACTAGGGAATTGGAGAACTGGAGATAGGAACGCATGAATCCCAACTGTTAGTCCTGCATTTGTCTCACACCCCACAGAGAGCCCTGTCGCTAATTCACATGCCAGTTTTATGATCCTGTAGCCACTCCAGAGAGTGAAGTGTTGGCAGTCAAGAGTGCACTCATGCTTCAGAAACATTATGGAGGCCATAATGCATATTGTATAAGTGTATACTGCTGCTATATTGATTTTCTTCTCACATTAATAGTAATACTAAGCATATGATAGGAGTAAGTCTCATCAGACCTACTGCATAAACGAGGAAACTGAAAGACACTTAAGGATAAGTGATATTAATGAAAGCATTAGCAGATCAAATAGATGTCCCAGCTGTCCTCTCCCTCTGCCTCTGTAAAATGTGTCTTTCTGATTTCTTTAAAAGCATTTTCATCACAATAGCCTTGTTGAAACTCTTTCCACTAAAAATATAGAACAAATAAAAATCAATTTTCATTATCTGAAATCTTACGGCATCCTGTTCATTAAAAGCACCGCCTTTCACGTCCATGGTACATTTAAAGCTATCTAGTTCAAATGTTAAAACTGGACACAAGTTGGTGATTCTGTTAGAGCCGCCGCTGTGAAAACAGAAGTGTTTTGATGACTATCCTCAGCTTCCTAGGTTGAACTTCCCCTCTTCATGCCATGCCCCTTAATTCCACAGAGGTGCATGGTCTTGTACAAGTCGCTTAAACTCTGGGGTTTTAAGATCCCTTCATCACTTAAAATGTAATTCTAACTACCAGATCCTTGATTCTGAAATGCTTTTTCAAATTAGACCCAGCAACCTCATAATTTGTATAATGTGATTTCCCCCTGATTACCTTAGCGGTTCGTGATGGCCTCTTAACATGTGCATGCGGACAGAATAAAAAGCCTTACACATGTTGACGAAAATATTTCACTTGGAATATTTCCATTTGGGCCTTTTGTCTATTGATGTGCAATTCTGCAGCATACTAAAACGAAAATAACCTTGACTAAGAATCATGAGACTCGGGTTCTATTCCAGGCTCTGACGGAAAATGTGCCTTTAACTTTTGTGAGCGACAGCATATTTAGGTATAAAGAATAAGTATAAAAATACACATCCTGACTACCTCATGAATAAGACGTAAGAGAATAAACCGACTCAAGTTTGGAACAAGTGAGGTTAAAGGAGAACAGTGAACAGCACAAACAACACTGGCATAGTTGTGCTTTACCTGACGGGGAGATGTGCCGCCAAGAAATGGTAGGCTCTGGTTTCCCAGTGGCCAAACAAATTAGGGTGACATTGGTTCCTTCATTGATGGTCATATCACTTGAGATGTCATATATCTTCGGAGGAACTGAAATGGTAAAACATGCAGTGGTCAGAAAAAAATATATAAAATTCTGTTGAGCTATACATGATAACTCCATGATCTCATGCACTAAAGCAGGGGTGGTGAAATGCACTTATGGCCTATGATCATGATCAGTACCCCAAAGATTGGTTCTCTAGCTTCTCTAGACTCTCCTAGAGTTTTCTTTGTTAGTTGGTTAGTTTTATTTATTTTTCTAATTTTTAGATGTGTAATATTTAATAAAAAAAATGTTTAAGCTTAAATTTTTATTATTGATAGTTTTTGTTGTTGTTGTTGTTGTTGCTATTAATCCTCAGCCAAGAATATTCTTTTCATATTGATTTTCAGAGAGAGTGGGAGGGTGGTGGGAAAAGAGAGAGAGAGACAGAGGGAGAGAGAGAGAGAGAGAGAGAGAGAGAGAGAGAGAGAGAGAGAGAGAGAGAGAGAGAGAGAGAGAGAGAGAGAAACATTGATATGAGAGAAACACATCCACTAGTTGCTTCCCACATGTATCCCAACCAGGGCTAGGGATTGAGTCTGCAACCAAGGCATGTGCCCTTGAGCAGAACTTAATCCATGGTGCTTCAGTCCACAGGCTGACACTAATCACTGAGCAAAAAACGGAGAGGGCTATTGTGGATATTTTGTATTAAATAAACTCGAGTATTGCTAATCAATCTGTTCTATCCATGTATCCATAATTTATTCATTCCATAATTGTGGTTTTCTTGTTGAAAAGAGTAACAAAAATGGAACTTCAGAAGAAAATTAAGCTAGAATAACTGTGCCTACATCTTGATTCAAAAGCTGAGTAAGATAAAAAAAAAAAAAAAAAAAAAAAAAAAAAACAAAAAACATGTGCAGGAAGGACTGAGAAGTAAGATTCTGGGGTCCCAAAGGCATTTTGGGCCTCAGTTATCTATTTGATAAATAGTAGGGCCGAGATTTCCAGCATTTATGGTCTAAGGATCACTATTGTACTAGGGGCTGTGACACTTGTGTTCCACAAGAGTTTTCTTGTCAGTGACGGCTGGAAACCACTGGTTGAAATAGTCCTTTTCTTGGGGATTTCTTAGAGCCTCTGTTATGCCCACCGTACCTCTCAAGAGTAAAAGGGAAAATATTATGCTGTATTTTTTTTTAATGTCCCTGATGTATTAGACAATGGGAGCTTTTATCCCAGCAGCATTTGATGAAAAGTGTATAGACCGTGGAATACAAGGTGGGAAAGTTGGATAGAAAAATCCTTAATTTAACTCCATGGGTTAAAATGTCCATTATTCTCTCAAATTCCAAATGGTCTCATTTAAACCTCAAACAACATGGATATGAATCCTGGATCCTCTACTGGCTAGTGAGTTATCTAGGTTGAGTTACTTAATGAATCTCACTCAGTGTCTTCATCTGAAACTTGGAAATAATAATACAAACCCCATGTAGCTGCTTGGAGCATTCTATAAGTCAATACATGTTAAAGAAAAGTATATGATATTATTAGCTATTATTATTAGATGCCTCAAAAGACATTCCATATTGTATTTAATTTCAGTACTGCGCTTTTCCTCTGCCTTAAACTGCTCTCAGAACTTCATCCCTTTGTTAGGATATGACTGGCTTATGATATACATTTTGGTTTACTATATAAAACTTATAGTATACTGAGAGAAACACATTCACTGGTTGCCTCCCAATGGCAATTAGATACCTTGATAATTATTTAAAAATATATTTTTACTGGAATATTTTAATTGTTAGAGTTTCTTCATGCAAGATATATTTACTACAGTTATTTAAAAAAGTAACTAAAATATTTTTAAGGATAATTAAATTACCTATCCCATGAATATCATCTTTGATTTTTTTAAATAAAGTCATAACTCTGCTACAAGAAAAATCTAGGATAATGATTATGGATATAAAGCATTTGATTATATGTAACTGTTGCTATGATTGAAGAAAATTCTTATTCATAAGTAATGTACTATTGTAACTGTTTCTAAATGACATATTTTAATGAGCATTTAAAACATGTTATCATTATCTTCAGTGAGATCTTCTCAGGCAAATAAAAAAAACAACATTCCAAATAGGTACTCTCTTTAGTTTAACTGAAACAGAACAAAAATATAGTCATTAAGATACCATAGAAAGAAAATAGGAAAAAATGTGACTTAGCTATTACTGGTGAATGGGAGAGTTAATAAAAATAAAGTTACAACATTAAATAGGAATACCAATAGCTATGTGGATGTAGGTATAAGTTTGATTCAGCAAACTAAGAAAAAATGTGTACATATGTGTGAATATACAAACATACATAAATGCACATACACACCAATGCAAATATACTAATGCACACTATTAAAAAATAAAAAAGTTACTTTATACTTTCTCTTTTATATATAATATAGCACACAGAGATCAGCCTAGGATGGTTAGTTTATTTATATATTTTAAACACGTATCTGATTCAACTTTAGACAGAAGTTGTGTGAATATTTAAGAGAAGTGATGAAGTGTCCTAAGATAATATATTCTAACCTCTCAATTACATTATTTTGTCAATTTCATCAGATTTTAAAATAGTTTAGTTTCACCTTATACATCAAGTTATATTTTAAGCAGTAAACATGAGTGGTAAATTGATATTAAGCACAATATTTGACTTCACAAAGAAGCAACAGAGTTCCTTAGCCATAAACTTAGATTTGAAATTTAACTATGGGAAATTGTGTGGTAAGGGAAGAGTACTGAATTCCAAGTGTGGCATGTCATCTCAGTGATTGCAATCACTTCTTGGGGCCTCATAATTCAGGATATGCTATAGGGAAGAAACATATGGAAAGAGGAGTTTAGTAAGGGAAATCCCTTTGGCAAGGCGCTTCTCCCCAGAATGCATCACCTGTTGACAGCAGATACTGATGGTTAGGAGTGGGTAGTGGAAGCAATGAAATCTTTCACATGCACAAGTAGTTTATGGAGGCAAAAAAAATCAGATGTTGCTTCATTGAATATTCAAAGCATTTGCCCATTCCATTTAAGAGTTCTACAGAATTTATGAAAGAAATTAATTCTGGGCACACAGGAAATGTAGAAATTTCAAAGCATAATTCTTGCCCTCAAGGAACTTAAAATTAAGAGGAAACAGATAACAATGTAACTAAGATAGTATAAATATTTTCCACATATTTCTTTACCATTTGACATGAATAACACATATCTAATAGTTATGCCTTCTGGGTTCATATTGGCAGAGATTGGTTTTATATTGGTTTATTTTAATGTACAACATGTAGAACAACTTATGCACAAAGGTATTTGGTCTGGTATTATTTATAATGGAAAAACACTATTAATAACCTCAATTTAGGACAGCATAAATGTAGGCATGGTCAGCTCTATTTCCAGAATAAGGCATGGTGATGGAGAAGGGTTTGGGATGATTCCAGGTGCATCCTGCTAAGGAAAAATGGAAGAGAAAAGAGATGCTTCTACAATACTTTGGGTAACAGAGACTGGGAACAATGCTATTATCTCAGGCATCATAAGACCATCCAGTTCTGGTAACTCTTCCTGGGTTACAGATTGTGTATAAATGATCCACAGGTACACACAGGTGGGATGGACTCTATTAACCTTTCTGAATGACAAAAGAGTGTGTCTAATAGTATGTCCATATGTTGTGCTCTACCATAGAAAAACAGAGTTAAAATAACTTACTATTTATTCTAGATGAGTAACATTGATTAGATCCTTTTATATATTCTGTATTTTAGACTTTCTCAAATGCTTTATTTAATACATTTTTGTTGATTTCAGAGAGGATGTGAGAGGGAGAAAGAGATAGAAATATCATTGATGAGAGAGAATCATTGATTGGCTGCCTCCTGCATGCTGCAATCTGTGCATGTGCACTGACAGGGAATCAAACCTTGATCTCCTGGTTCACAGGTTGATGGTCAACCACTGACCAACACTTGCTGAGCTCAAACACTTTATTTAAATTTAACTTAAATGATGTATTTACAAAGGAGAAACTTTGTTAAGTCCATTCAATTATTTTAAATAACTATGAATATTTATCAGCATTTTGGACTTCTGTGTATATTATTAAAGTATTTATGACCAAAGCAGAGTAATAAAGACATATGTTATTCATCTAAATATAAACTTGTTTAATTTGCAGAAAATAATTATTATAACATTATGATTACTCTCATCATCAACATAACACCATAAATAAAAACACCAAAGGACAGAAGTTCTAGATTTCATACAAAATCATAGCATATCTCTCTCCTAATATGACTTTAATTGGGGATATACAAGATTTTATTATTTTGTTTATAAATATTAGTTGTGTATGACCAGTGAAAGAGATTAGCAAATATCAGAAACTTTCCAAAAACAGAAGTTGGGAGAGAAGAACCAAAATAGGGGTGTAGGCAAATGCATGTACTCACTGCCTCCCACAACCACATCAACATTACAACTATAATACAGAACAATCATCATCCAGAATTGCCATAACGCTGGCTTGATAGAAGTCCTAAAATTAGAGAAGAAAATAAGAAAGAGACTGGACAGAGATGTGGAGGCATGGAACAGGCTGGTCTGAAACTCAGGTGGGTTGTTTTTTTAATCAGGAGGAGGATCCTCTCTGTGGCAGCTGCCCAGAGGAGCAAGGGGTCCCACCCCACACCAGACTCCCAGCCCAGGGTTCCAGAGCCAGGAAAAGGAGTCCTTATTGGCAATAAGAACTACTGGTCATAAAAGCTAGTATGGATAAGGGCTCAGTGACGCAAAGGCTGCTGGAGACTCAGTTGCTCCTCTTAAAAGGCCGGCACCATGAACTTAACTTACAAGTTTCTGATTCCTGAGCTCCAGTGCTGGGCGAGGCTCTGGGGGACCCAGACACATAGGAGGGGAAACTGGACTATCTGGCATCTGAGCAGGAACTCAAAGGCAGCTTGCTTTCAGAAGGAGGTGCTCACAGTGGTCAT